CCAAAAGAACCGTCGCATGAGCATCGCTCAAGAGCTGTTGAATGACGTCAACGACGACCCAGATTTACTCAAAAGGGTCATAACTGGTGACAAATCATGGGTATATGGTTATGATATCGAAACCAAAGCCCAATCGTCCCAATGGAAGAGCCCAGGCGAGCCAAGACCGAAAAAAGCACGCCAAGTTCGATCAAATGTCAAAGTTTTGATCACTGTTTTCTTCGATTACCATGGCGTGGTGCATCAGGAGTTCTTACCATATGGTCGTACGGTCAATAAACAGTATTATCTGGAAGTTATGCGCCGTTTGCGAGAAGCAATACGAAAGAAACGTCCAGAATTGTGGAAAAACAATTCATGGCTTTTGCATCACGATAATGCCCCTGCTCACTCATCTTTGCTTGTGAGAGATTTTTTGGCCAAAAACAACACCACAATAATGCCTCAGCCACCATATTCACCGGATTTGGCCCCATGTGACTTTTTCTTGTTCCCAAAACTGAAGAGACCTATGAAAGGACGGAGATTTGCAACGATTGAAGAGATAAAGACTGCATCGCTGCAAGAGCTCAAGGCTATACCGAAAAGTGCTTATGGGAAGTGCTTTGAGGATTGGAAAAACCGTTGGCATAAGTGTATTGTAACTGAGGGGGATTACTTTGAAGGGGACAACATAAATATTGATAAATAAATTAATAGTTTTTCTTGAAAATACAAAGTCACCTTACTTTTTGAACGCACCTCGTACATATATCGAAAAGTGTTTGGTGGCGCCCTTAGAGTTTAGGAGCATTGATGTATTTTGAAATAAATTATTTAATAGATTTAGAAAACTAGTTACATATATTACATTTTACAGATCAAAATAGTGCTAATTATCGGAAAAGATTCGTTACCACAGTCTTATAAGAATGTCCTGGCCGAAGAAGTACAACCTGGACGAAGCCTCCGGAATAAAAATACTAAAAGGTCTGCTCAACAAAACTTAAAAATTTATCAAATGAACAGCTTTTTTCAAAATAAACTATTTTAATTAGATGTAAAAAAAAAATTATTAAGAGTAGTTTATTAAAGTTTAAAATTTGTTACCCTAATTCCACTAAAAGTAAATAATTTAAAACTTAAAAAATAAATTAAATAAACGATACTTAAAAATTATTTTTCTTATATTTGTATAAAACTACTTTCAAATAAATTTTTTAATTGGTCTTGTAAAACTCCAAAAAATGCAGAACCTAATACGAAAAACACTCATAAAAATATAACAAAACAATTTCATAACGTGTTGTATTTTTCACATTTAACTTAAAATAAAACTGATATTTATTAACAAATTAAGTACAAGTTAATAATTACTGTAATTTTATAAATTTTATAAAAAACACATAATTTAAAATAAGATTTCAGAATATATATTTTTTTCTATATATTTTCCGCAAGCAGAGTGCAGGCCTTTCCAAATTATATAAATAACTTAATAAAAAAAAAGTTGAAAATTTTGTATTATAATAAATAAATAAATCCCTAGAAAAACCAACAATAAACACACCTTTTTGTCATATGGGTATACTCCTTTTTGGTTTGCCGCGCCAACAGAATTGCAAGACTGGACAGAGTCTGCGCTACATCGGGATCTTAATAAAGCATCCAAGGGCCCACAGAAAGTACTTGATTTCTTTTTGCTCTTTTAGCTTTCCTTACTCGTAACTAATTTAACAAAACATATACACCTATTTAAATAAGAATGGTGTTTTTAAAAACAACAAATTACAGCTTGCTAGCTTTTCGTAATATTTCGTAATAAGTGAAATACAAAATATTTGCCATAAACTATTATTTTGTTCAATCAGAGCTATAATCAAATAGGTTTTTACAATCAAAGTCTTTAAACAATTATTTGAAGTAAAAATGCATTTTCGATCAGAAAATAACAATTTTAAAATAATTAATTTAATAAAAAATATTTTTTTTCATGATAATAATTAATAAAAACGATTTTTAAAATAAAAGGTTTAGCTGTTACGGTCCCTAGTTAGTTGGATGATTATTTAAAATTAAAAACGTTTTTCTCAGATTAAAAAAAAAACACTACCTTGAGTACCATGCGCATATAGTTATGAACAAAGAAGTTATGACGATTTTCCAAATATTTACATTGTTCATTTCACGAATGTACTTTATACGGTCGAAAATATCTCCTCTCCTTTCTTTCCCTAAAAAACGTTTGACCAAAAGTGTAAGGCTGTCTGCAAGGGTATAAACATCTGTCAGCAAAATGTTTTACCTTTTGTAGCTTATCGTATTGTACATGGCTTAAAATAACTTCATTTGAAATAGGAATTATAATTAAATAAAAACAAAAGGACGCAGCTAAGTGCCAATATGTCTACAATGTCTTTTGGAAAAATTTACAAATATATATTTAAGTATAATAGGTATCTTATAATCAATGGTCAACTTATGACGCAGATACTTTTTGAAAAGCCCTCGCTAAGCGTCGTGTAACTCCTTTGAATTTAAATGGCCAAGAGCGGTTACCATTCAGTGAGTTATTCTTGTGGGCAATTATTTTCTTATTTGCCTTTTGTGAATACTTTTTAATGACTCCCGAGCAATTAAAAAAGCTTTTAACCGGTACTTCCTTGTTTGTATAAAAGTACATTGTATAAGTATGCCAATTTAAGGGAGAATAATGTTGGGAAAATTTTTAAAAAACTTGTTAGCAATTCTTAAAGAAAAAAATCAGATCTCAAATTACAGTTACATGCAATGCAGATCACACTTACCCGTTCATACGTTTGTTTCTAAACAATTTTTGAGGTGAACTTAACTGAACAGTCACTGTAACAGATATGTGAGTACAGAGCCACATATATTATTATTAAACGAAAAACAACGGAATATTGGCATATATCTTCAAAAACAACAATATCAATCGAATACGAATATTTTCGTTCGTGTATATTGGCCAGCTTCCTGATGATGATCAAAAACTTTATAGGGTTGGAAATGTATTTTTTCTATGTTACACACATCGGATCTACAGTTTAATACTCTAAGTGAGAGTATAAGCATTTGTCTAGAATTAGTAAAGAAAAGGGCTATTCGTATTAATTCAAAAGTATACAACAGGCAGAAACTATAAAAAAAATGTTCTTGATCACCAAAAGTCTAAAGTTGATACAAAATGTTTTTCAATAGAAAATTTTTCAAGATATCAAAAGAAATATTAATTACTTCTTGTTGGAATAAGAAACATTTATTTAAAGAGAAAAAGAAAAAAATGTTATTTAAAATTCTATCTAAAAAGTTAGCCTATAAGAACATTTTAAAGAATTTTACCCACATATGGCGGTTTTTGCCTTAATAAATAATTATTAGTTTCTGGCATAGCATTGATTTTATTTGTTGTTAATGTTTTTACAGTAATTGCAGAAGGAAGCCGGTATAACCATTTTTTAGAACATTCTTCTCTTTGTGTTAATGTACAGTGCGTTATTATAATAAATAAAAAAGTTTAGCATAAATGAAACGTCCGCTTATTATGTCGGTACATGGTTTATTTACAAATAACTACTTGTTATATATGCACTACCCTATTACTGTAATAGGATGGTGACGAACCGCACAAAAGTGTTGCCCCAGCCAGCATAATCTGCACTGAACTGTTTACTAGAACACTCTCCACTCTGGAATAAATGACTTAAATTCAAGCAAATGGCTTGAAAACATTGATTCTCAAGGGCCGATTTCATAATGTTATATTATAGTCTACTTTATATCTGTCAGAGAAAGTTCTTGACGTCGGGTATTTCTCAACCTACTTGTAAAGATCACTCGGCGTTCGATTGACTTTTATTGATAACAGTCAATTTTTGATTTGTTGCAGACGAAACAGTCCTCAAGAAAGTTATTTTACAACGAGATACTAATTTGTATCTATTTAAATGTTAAATATGTTTCTAATATTTAGTTAAGCAGACGCAGTCAATTTTGTAGTACGCCACTAACTACATTTTTAGCATTTATATTTTTATACAGTAAAACATTCAAATTCTATTAGATAAGTATAAAAAACTTGTTTTCGAGCTTTGCAAATTTGTGTTTCTGATTCACAAAATGGTTATTTTTTTAATTTCTCGCTTTTTATACCCTTGCAGAGGGTATTATAATTTTGGTCAAAAGTGTGCAACGCAGTGAAGGAGACATCTCCGACCCTATAAAGTATATATATTCTTGATCAGGATCGCGTCCTGAGTGGATATAAGCATGTCCGTCTGTCCATCTGTCTGTCCCTTTGTCCGTTTGTAAAGTTAGGAAGTTGGGATTTTCTATAGGTTTTATTTTTGGCCAATCAATCTTATCTACCAAATTTCATAAGGATCAGCCGACTATAACTGTTAACGACGTTGCTGTTTTATGTTATAAAATTTCGACTTAATGAACATAAAGAATCCAAAACTCTTCCTCCATTTACAAAATCGTACTTTTGCTTCAGTAAAATGATAAATACTTATATATATATTATATTCTCTATGAAAAAAAGTGAATTTAAATATTGTTCGTTACGAAATTCTGTTTTAGAAATTTTCGTGGTTGTAGTGCTTTCGTCTCGCGTTGATAAGTTTTTCTTTATATAAATATATTTTTTACATACATACAAAGCCACAAGTTTATTTTGTAGATGCACAAAACAGCGATTCTGCGATACCACCGATAAAATACAAATATTTTAAATGGGTCACTAAATTGCTAGGTATGGTTTTTAGGGGACAGTTCCACTCAGTACAGTAGATCATGAGGGATACACACAGTGAATTATTTTTGTTGGGCCCTGATGTACTGTTCATTTATATTAAGTGGCCACTGTGCCCGTACACCATTACTTCAATGGGGCTCGGGCAGAACCCTCTTCCTAAATCATTATTAAATTAAATTGTATGTAAAAATGTCAAACCACTAGCCCCCTTATATTTAAGCGTCGCTTATATTACCATGTCACTACATAGACTTTCTCGATTTGAGGAACAAAGCATCATTTTAGGTGGTTTAGATACTCAGTTTGATGCAAGCAAGTGACCTGCAAGGGTGCTGTTCTCGTAATTACGCGCAACTCGGACGAAAACGAGTCAGCTCTAGTGCTCGATTGTCCTAGTTTATATTTGGTCGTCCTTTACATCTTTCAAAAGAGAATATTAACGAAATGTACAGTAACTGCGCAAACGATGGTGATGGGGGAGGCGATGGGCGCAAGCACGAATCTATTGAAATGAGTAAAGAAGTGGGTCACGCGTCAAATTTACAATCTAACACACAAACAAATGTGGACGCCTCCAATAAACAGCAGGTAAGTGCAGGAACTAGTTTTATTGAAGATATAGAATAATATTGCAAATAAGCAAACACCCTTGGAGTTATAACAAGTTTTTGGCCGGTATATATTTATCAGGAACTAAGAATTTGATTAATTTAAATTCCCCTCTTCAATGGTATGAAAATAAGTAAGTCAGACTTAAAGGCCAGGTCAATAAAGTCAGTGTCAAGCAGGAGATCAAAAAAACTGCCTAAGCGTGGGCTGGGGTGTATATATATGTTATATGTATGTAGAATGTATGCCAACATATGCGAATATTTTCCTATTATCTTCCGATATTTTCTATGGAAAAAAGGTTTTTTTGTATGTAAAAATGTCATATATAAAATGTTGCTACCTTAAAACTACAAATCGTATCGGTACGATTACATTTTCTTCAGCTCCAATTACTCTTCAGCTGTGAATTGCATTATCGTCTTCTGATCGAGCCGAAAAATACCCAGTGACTCGTTAATGTTAACTCATACACAGGAACTCAAAAAACCAAATTTTCTTTGCAGTGACTTTATCTGTACAAGAAATGTTACCTGGTATTAAAACAAGAAAGGAAGCAAACTTCGGCAAGCCGAAGTTTATATACCCTTGCAGTTGCTACAAATCTACTACATTTCAATTTCTATGCCTATATTACTAAAAACAATGAAGCTATGTCGATTTTGGGCTGCATTTTGGCATCATTTCTATAGCAGCTATATGATTAAGTTGTCCGATTTTATTTTAATTAAAACCATAATTCCATAATATTTAAAAATTACCAAATCCCAAAGAACAACAAAACAACATTAAAAGAACAAAGTTATCATTTTTTAAAATTTTTTTTTTCTGAGATTTCCTATGGGAGCTATATGATATAGTCGCCCGATCCGGCTTGTTCCGACTTATATTCTACCTGCAATAGAAAGACAACTTTTGGGAAAGTTTCAAGCAGTTAGCTTTAAAACTAAGAGACTAGTTTGCGTAGAAACGGACGGACGGACAGGCGGACGCACGGACAGACATGGCTATATCGACTCTCCTGGTGATGCTGATCAAGAATATATATACTTTATAGTATATATCACTGCGTTGCAAACTTTTGACTGAAATTAAAATACCCTCTGCAAGGGTATAAAAATATTAAACAACAAAGACGGGCGGACAGACGGCAGACGGACATGGCTAGATCGACTCTCCTGGTGATGCTAATCAAGACAAGAAAGGAAAGCTAACTTCGGACGGAGCCGAAGTTGATATACCCTTGCAGAATACTCTGTAAATTATATTCTCCAAAATTATTCATATGATGCATTCTTAATACTTATAAAAAATCCCAACTTCCTAACTTTAAAAACACCAAAGTTATGGCATTTCCGATCAATCAGTTATATAGCAGCTATAGGATATAGTCGGCCGATCCTTATGAAATTTGATCGGTCGGATTGATTGGCCTAATATAAAACCCATAGAAAATCCCTTTCTAACTTTTCAAACACCAAAGTTATGGCACTTCCGATTAATCAGTTATATTCGGTAGGTCGGATTAATTGGTCAAAAATAAAGCTCATAGAAAATCCCAACTTCCTAACTTTAAAAACACCAAAGTTATGGCTTATCCGATCGTTCAGTTATATGGCAGCTATATGATATAGTCGCCCGATCCGGCTCGTTGCGACTTATATACTACCTGCATTAGGAAGACAACTTTTGGGAAAGTTTCAAACAAATAGCTTTAAAACTGAGGGGCTAGTTTGCGTAGAAATGGACGGACGGACGGACAGACGGACGGACAGACGGACAGACGGACGGACAGATGGACATGGCTAGATCGACTCTCCTGGTGATGCTGATCAAGAATATGTATACTTTATAGGGTCAGAAATGTCTCCTTCACTGCGTTGCAAACTTTTGACTGAAATTATAATTATATATTATTATAATTATATTATTACTTCCAAGTATGTCTGCATGTCTGATTATCTGTCCGTATGCATTTCGATATCTATTGATGACTTGCATCTCACATTTACCCAGACCGACGAAACCCGTTCGTCAGCCTTTTTTCCGTTAGGCCTTATTTTACCCCGGTTCTCCTCGATTTCGGGATTGCCAGGATAACGATTCCAAACACTCAGAAGCAATTGTAAAGACTTGGGTTGTCTGGAACTCCCCTCACGTGGTCATAACGACTTGAATTTGATCGAAAATTTAATGAAAATAAGGAAGAGGAAGATTTCAGATCTACGTTTTTAGTTTTGTCAAAATCGGACAACAATATCAGATAGCTGCTTTGTTGTTTTTAGTAATAAAGGGCATAGAAATCAAAATTTAGTCCTTTTGCAATAACTGCAAGGGTATATAAACTTCGGCTTGCCGAAGTTTGCTTCCTTTCTTGTTGTTTTTATGATTAACAAAATATTTAATTTTGTTGGTTATCTTTCTTAGTTTAGCAGCAATACCGACTTGAACTTTTATTTCCTAATTGCTTCGAGCCACTTTACCTTCCATAAAAACAAATTGACAGAGAAAATCGTTAAAGCGTCGTTGTTTTTAAGCATGTAAAATTCAAGATGTAGTTATTTTTTACGAATTTAATTAATTTAATTTTTTTTTAATTTTAGTAGAAATTTACCGACTATATATTTATGAACATAAAAAAAAATCGGGAAACTTCATTGTTTTTCAATTAACTCATACAATATTATAATAACTTCAATGGTATATCAGCTTCGGCTTGCCGAACCGTTTTTTATTTCTCGGTCCCAAAGTAAAAGCCTATTGGAGCTTAAAATTAAAAAATGTACGACACCTTGTTAATTAAAACCTTTTGGGTAAAGTTACATTTTTAGTTTATATTTACATATGATCTTTTTTTTCAGTTGGTTAAACTTGAACAACTTCCAGAACGCGGGTCATGGTCTTCAAAAATGGATTTCATTCTTTCAGTAGTAGGACTAGCAATCGGCTTGGGAAACGTTTGGCGATTTCCTTACTTATGCTATAAAAATGGAGGCGGTGCATTCATATTACCATATATAATAACGTTGTTTTTAGCTGGAATTCCGATGTTTTTCATGGAGTTAGCTCTTGGTCAAATGTTGACCATTGGTGGGCTTGGTGTATTTAAGATTGCCCCCATATTCAAAGGTAAGATTTAATATTTATATATTATTATAATTTCAGTCAAAAGTTTGCAACGCAGTGATGGAGACATTTCCGACCCTATTAAGAATATATATCTTGATCAGCATCACCAGGAGAGTTGATCTAGCCATGATCGTCCGTCCGCCCGTTCTTCCGTCCGTTCTTCCGTCCGTTTCTACGCAAACTAGTCCCTCAGTTCAAAAGCTTTCTGCTTTCTATTGCACGCAGAATATAAGTCGGAACGGCCGGGATCGGCCGACTATATCCTATATATATATTATATATATTTATATTATATATAGCTGCCATATAACTGAACGATCGGTAATGCCATAACTTTGGTGTTTGTAAAGTTAGGAAGATGGTATTGTCTTTGGGTTTTATTTTTGGCCAATCAATCCGATCTACCAAATTTCATAAGGATCGGACGACTATATCCTATAGTCGTCATATAACTGATTGATCGGAAAGGCCATAACTTTGGTGTTTTTAAAGTTCGGAAGTTGAGATTTTTTAAGAGTATTAAGAATTCATCATATGAATAATTTTGGAGAATATAATTTACAGAATATTCTGCAAGGGTATATCAACTTTGGCTCCGCCCGAAGTTAGCTTTCCGTTCTTGTTTAAAAAGAAAATGGGTCGTAATAACAGCATTTGATCATACTAAGATAGATAAGCTAATATTACTGGAGATTCAAGCAGGGCTCAAGTCGAAGTGTAAGCTTATTAACTATAAGTATGGCCCTAATTATTTGCTCTATATTTTTTTAAGGAATTGGATATGCTGCTGCAGTTATGTCATGTTGGATGAATGTTTACTATATTGTCATTCTGGCTTGGGCGGTATTTTATTTCTTCATGTCGATGAGAGCAGGTAAGTAATTACTTTAAAGCTTGTATGCCCTTGCATCGGGTATTTAGTATCAGTCAGAAGACTGCAACGCAGAAAAGCAAACATTCCCGACCCTAAAAAGCATAGTTATTATAACCATGTCCGTTTGCCCTTCTATTCGTCTGGCTCCTTCTACGTAAACTAATCTATCAGTCTTAAATATATTATGATAAAACTGTTCAAAACTGCAGTTGGCTTTTAAACATATACCCATTTACATCGAGTCTTAGTTATTTTTTACAATATTAAAAATACGGACTTAAAAGTATAACAATCGGATAATATGCTCTGCCGAAGTTTGCTTCCTTTCTTGCTCAACATATTTTGAACGAATTGTAAATGTTATTGTACATAAATGAGTTCGATTTTTCAGATGTACCTTGGAGGACGTGTAACAATTGGTGGAACACAGTGAATTGTGTCAGTCAATATGAAAGAAAAAATTTACATTGCTGGGATAAGATAATTAATGGCACCGCAAAAAAAATGTGCTCCGTTTCTGCTGTAAACATTACATCTTCTGAGCTTACAGATCCAGTTAAAGAATTTTGGGAGTATGTGAATTATCTGTCATAACTTTAAACCTAACCTAATTTTACCTAACCACAGACGCATTGTTGAGGCTTTAATCATGTCCTTAACACTTACATAAGTCGAAATACTTATAAAACTTTTTGTTTTAGGCGTCGTGCACTTCAAATATCTCATGGCATTGAGGAAATTGGAAACATTCGCTGGGAGTTGGCTGGAACTTTATTACTTGTCTGGATCCTCTGCTATTTTTGCATTTGGAAAGGAGTAAAATGGACAGGGAAAGTAGTATATTTTACTGCCCTATTTCCATATGTTCTTTTAACGGTTCTGCTGGTTCGTGGAATAACTTTACCTGGAGCTTTGGAAGGCATCAAATTTTATATTATTCCTAACTTTTCAAAGTTGTCTAATTCCGAGGTTTGTTTACAACACTATAACTAAAGCTAAGCATTAATTAATTGGTTTCCAAACAAAATTTGTTGAGAAAAATTTGTAAATACAATGAAAAAGTTTAATTTCTCTAAATACCTCCTTAAGTTTTAATGCGATAGATAAAATTTAAATTGTATTAAGTCCCGAACATATTGTTATGTTATATATAATTATTTTTTTAATAATATAAGTGGATTAGAGTGAATAATATACACATGTTTTTCAAACACGATTTTAAGGTAAAGCCTAGTACTCAGATCGACGAAATCTGTTCGTCAGCTATAAGAGGGATCGAGAGGCAAACAGCTGGCGAACGCTTTTCGTCAGGCTCTCAGATCGACGAAAAAATACCAGAGAATTGTCAGTCTGCTGAAATGAAATTTGGGTGAACGTTCGTCAGGCCCTAGCAAAATGATAAATACGCAACTTACACATTAAGTGACAGCTCTTTGGATAAAATAACTCTTGTAAACGATCTTGGCGTTCTCTTGGACCCTAAACTAAAATTTTCAAACCACATTTCGTCCATGGTTAATAAAGCCAGAGGAGTGCTTGGATTTATTAAAAGGTGGTCAAAAGAATTCGATGATCCTTATTTAACTAAAACTTTATTTATTTCGCTAGTCCGTCCGATTCTGGAGTATGGGTCTGCCGTCTGGAGTCCGCAATACGGAATACATATTGGTCGTATTGAATCAGTACAAAAAAACGTTCTTCTTTTTGCTTTACGGCGCCTAAACTGGGATGCAAATCTTATCTTACCTTCTTATTCTAGTATACTTCTGTTGATTAATTTACCCTCCCTAGCCAACCATAGAACGATGCTTGGTACTGTCTTCATTTATAACCTTATACATGGTGAGATTGACAGCCCCGACTTGGTAAGTCGGCTAAACTTTTCTGTGCCAACTAGATTAACTAGAAATTATATTCTCCTAATATTAAATCATTGTAGATCTAACTATCACTTGCAGAGTATTGTGTTCTGACTATAATAGATTTTTTCCTATAATCTCAAATCTTGACTCTCTGCCGCTCTTAAAACGATTAATACTAGCTTCATTGGCACAAAATTGATCTTCCTATTACTTTTTTCCCCGGACTTTTACCTATATTTCCTTATGTCGCGAATCGTGCCGTACGATATACGGCTGCGCCCCTCGGTCGGTTGGGCGGGTTAGTGATAATAGAAATTATATTGTTTTCTATTTTCTTTGTATAGCGGCAGATATGTCTTGCCAAAGAGGTTGAGAATATTTTTAAAAGGCTCTTAACCGCATATAAGATTTTCGACTTTTAACTGCTGTTAACAAGCCCAGCTGATTGACAGTCATTGACAATGCAGTCAAACCGGAAAGATTAAAGTTGTTCTGCTAGCGAACTTGTTTTTCGATCTGAGTACTAGGCTTTATGTACCAAAAGTTAAGTAAGAAACTTGTAATATATCAAAATTAAATGCGATTAAGTCCTGACCAATGTAAAAGAGTGACAAATTTAATTCCTTAAATGTTAATTTTAAAAATTTGGACGTTTTCTTATATAAAATCTTTTTTAGGTTCATTTATTTTTTGTCATTTTTATTTCATTAATGCGCGGTAATTATATAAATAGTACATTGTTGTAATATCTTTCAGGTCTGGATAGATGCTGTTACCCAGATATTTTTCTCATACGGCCTTGGACTTGGTACTTTAGTGGCTTTAGGAAGTTACAACAAGTTTACCAATAATGTCTATAAGTACGCTGTTATTTTGCAGGAAAAGATTTTTACTCTAAAATAAATATGTTAATATCTCACTTAATTTCAGAGACGCACTAATTGTCTGCACAGTTAATTCCAGCACCAGTATGTTTGCTGGCTTTGTAATATTTTCAGTTATAGGATTTATGGCTCACGAACAACAGCGACCTGTGGCCGAAGTAGCTGCCTCAGGACCTGGTCTAGCATTTCTAGTGTATCCATCGGCAGTACTGCAACTGCCAGGTTCTCCAATGTGGTCTTGCCTCTTTTTCTTCATGCTTCTGCTTATTGGCTTGGACTCCCAGTTCTGTACAATGGAGGGCTTTATCACTGCTATTATTGATGAATGGCCTCAGTTGCTGCGGAAACGCAAAGAAATCTTTATTGCTATTGTTTGCGCACTTAGCTATTTAGTTGGCTTAACCTGCATTACACAAGTAGGTTTAAAGATATGGAGTGTTGTAAAGCTGACTTTATTGATTTCGGTCCTTTTTTAGGGCGGCATGTACATATTCCAAATATTAGATTCATATGCAGTAAGTGGTTTTTGCTTACTATGGCTCATATTCTTTGAGTGCGTCTCAATATCTTGGTGTTATGGAGTTGATCGATTTTATGATGGAATAAAGGATATGATCGGATACTATCCCACAGTTTGGTGGAAATTTTGTTGGTGTGTCACCACCCCTGCTATATGCTTGGTTAGTATTTTATAAAATCTTGAATTTCTTTTATAATCATTTTCTTTGCTTATAGGGAGTCTTCTTCTTTAACATAGTGCAGTGGACTCCCATAAAATACTTGGACTACAACTATCCTTGGTGGGCGCATGCTTTTGGTTGGTTTACTGCATTGTCATCCATGCTTTATATACCAATATATATGTTCTGGTTGTGGAAACGAACTCCTGGAGACCTTAGTGAGGTGCGCAAATATAAATTTTATGCCCATCGAACATTTTACAAATCAATTATTTAAAATTCTAAATCTCTTTTAGAAAATCCGAGCTATAGTTCGGATAGACGAAGATGTAACCCGGTTGCGCGAGAAAATGCAGAGAGAAGCTTATGCTAAAGAGGTTGAATTTCATTCTTTATAGACGTATATAAGCTATCTCATAAAGTTTTAAGTCACTTTTTGTTGACACATTTATCAGCTAAATATGATTTACATTTATTTGCTTAACTTTGGGAATCATTTCTAATTTATACAACTAATATACAACGTTTTCTTTGATCTTTGGAATACTTTTCCCTGTCTTCACTTTAAACGTTGCAATAGTCCGTTTTACTAATTTTATATTTTAAATATTCCATTCTTTATTATCTAAAAAGCTAGTCTAAATAATCAAGCATAACAAATTGAGGTTTTTCAATGGTTGGTGTGTTTAATGTGGTACTTACTCAAGAGTATAATGCTGGAAATATTTACAGTGATTGGAATCTTGAATTTCTGAATATTCTGCTTCTGAAGCAAATATATCTAGATGAGTACAGTGCAGGATTTCAAAACCAATTTTACCATTGTTTGCTTAAGAAATTAATCGATATGTTTTTGACTTGCCAGTGTCAAGTTCTCATCCATTAGATTAGGTTACTTGGTATAATAAACACAAAAGGTTGTAATTAATATTTCAAATGTAAAAATTGAGGCTAAATCAGTTAATGCACTACAAAGAAGCAGACACATTCACATATGCAGAAACCGGTACATTTGCACCAATGTCGGGATAAGAGTCAAACTTATACTTTATCAGTTAAATTAATATACATATTAAAAACCGGTACAGATTATAAATTATTTTGCAATATAGTAATGTTTAGAAATAAGATATGGGTATCCCGCAATAAAATCACATTCATGTAATATAAGTTTAACATATTTATATATATATATTATGATATATATAAATATATATAATGATATATATATATACGTATAATTATAGAGTTATAAAAATATTTGTATTAATTTATTTCAGTGTCCTGATGGTGCTTCAGGCATTGTTGTTCTGTAATTTATCTATAAAATGTCATAATGTTGCTTAACGTGTCAAATAAATCCAATAACCACTTGACATAATGATTTACGATTCAGTTTTCATAAAGGGTTTTCATAACTCAGCATCGCACAAAAAACTTTCCAATTTTGATTACAACTATTTTAAGGTAAGTTGGTACATTCCAGCATACATTCTCCTGTTGGAGAATAAATTTGTTTACTATTAAAATGTCGCCGGAGGAAAACGCATAATCGTTAAAGGTTTCTAAATATTAGTTATGGTTCATGGATCCGTTTATGGGAACCAAGTCTCCCATACTATTATATGAAACTGAACACCAGAACATTACGCTTCCACCCCCATGGGGTGGAAGATCATTTTTATACCCTTGCAGAGGGTATTATAATTTCAGTCAAAAGTTTGCAACGCAGTGAAGGAGACATTTCCGACTCTATAATGTATATATATTCTTGATCAGCATCACCAGGAGAGTCGATCTAGCCATGTCCGTCTGTCCGTCTCTCCGTCCGTCCGTTTCTACGCAAACTAGTCTCTCAGTTTTAAAGCTATCTGCCTTAGACTTTCCCAAAAGTCGTTCTATTGCAGGTCGTATTTAAGTCGGAAAGAGCTGGATCGGGCGACTATATCATATAGCACTCATAGGAACAATCGGAAAAATATTAAATATTATGTAATTACGGTTTTAAATAAATTAAAATCGGACATCTATATCATATAGCTCCCTTAAAAAAATCGAAAAAAATTAAAAACAAGAAAGGAAAGCTAACTTCGGGCGGAGCCGAAGTTTATATACCCTTGCAGAATACTCTGTAAATTATATTCTCCAAAATTATTCATATGATGCATTCTTAATATTCATAAAAAATCCCAACTTCCTATCTTTACAAACACCAAAGTTATGGCATTTCCGATCAATCAGTTATATGGCGGCTATAGGATATAGTCGGCCGATCCTTATGACATTTGGTAGGTCGGATTGATTGGCCAAATATAAAACCCATAGAAAATCCCAACTTCCTAACTTTACAAACACCAAAGTTATGGCATTTCCGGTCAATCAGTTATATGGCAGCTATATGATATAGTCGTCCGATCCCGGTTGTGTGCAAAGTTTCAGTTCGATATCTTCAAAACTAAGAGACTAGTTTGCGTAGAAACAGACGGACGGTCAGATGGACATGCTTATATCAACTCAGGAGGTGATCCTGATCAAGAATATATATACTTTATAGGGTCGGAGATGTCTCCTTCACTTTTGACCAAAATTATAATACCCTCTGAAAAATGTTTCTTTTTATTAAAATATATCATTGCGATAATTTCAATAATTGCGTAATTATTTACTATTATTTATTTACTGCCAGCTGCCATAGAAACGATGACAAAATGCAGCACAATCGACATATCTTCATTGATTTTAGTAATATAAAGGCATAGAAATCGAAATGTAGTCGATTTGTAATTACTGCAAGTGTATATGTAATAATATAAAAAATCCGTTATTTATTCGCCTTATGAGTTTGACTTACTTATCCCGGTTTCAGCGCTCTTCCTTCTTTTATATACTTACTAGCAAGGTAGCCCGCAGCTTCGCCTGCGGAAATTAAGATTAGCAATTTCCTAACTATATCGCTTAAAACTATACTTTTGATTAACTTTTTTATTTGCTTCTTTATTTAAACTAAAACCATTCCACATTTCCACACCACCATAGAGGTAGAGGTTTTGGCGCGTTTTTTTTTTGTGGTTTCCCCATGAGGCCTATTCCACAGTGCATTTTAATTAGAAATGTTTAACATTTTTGCAAGACTTCTCTATAAACGATATTTTTGATTTTCCTTCTGGCGCTAAAATAATTAAAGACTCGGAGGAGCTAACTCTTGAACAGGCCACATAAAACTGACCATGAGAGAAGCAATCGTCCCTTAAATCTAGTCCAGCTAGTTTTAAGGTCTGACCTTGCGATTTATTTATCGTTATTGCAAAGCAAACTTTTACAGGGAACTGAAGTCTTTTAAACTGAAACGGTAGATTTGATGGTATTAGGGGTATTCGTGGTATAAAAACAATTTCTCCTTTGGCACAGCCAGTAAAAACCACAGCTTCGATTAAATTGTTATGAAGAGCTTTTACTTGCAATCTTGTACCGTTACATAGTTTTGGAGGTCTTAAATTTCTCAACAGCATAATTGGTGCACCAATCTTAAGCTTTAGAATGTGTAAGGGAAGTCCAGGTGGATTTTGTTGGTTGAAAAATTCAACCGGAAAATGAACTGCTTCATCAACTTCAGTGACTGAATCAATAGAATTATACGTAACTTCAATACCATCAAATGATTTTAACAGTATGTTATTTATTACCACAGCTCTATCATTTCTAGCAGTTAATATTGCTCTCTCCGAAAACCAATCTAATGATTTGGTTGAGATTTTTGAAATTTCCGGAAATATATTTGATGTGAGCTCCTCAAGGGAAGTTACAACAGTTCCTAAACCTGAAGGAATAATTATTTTGCCTTCGACAGTTGGAAAAAGACCGTCTCCAATTCTCAATAATGTATGTGCAAAAATTCCAGCAGTTGTATCGCCTTTTAAATGCACACGCATGTTTTTTGTTAGGCACAATTTTTGAATAGTAGGCCAAAGAAATGATGATTTTAAGCAGGCTTGTATTTCATCTGCCCTTGTTCCTCGAGGAACTACAGGAAGCGTTTGACGAAAATCTCCAGATAATAAAACCGTCATACCTCCCATTAGAAAATCATTACCACGAATATCTTTCAACATTCTATCCAACGCTTCAAAAGCACTCTTATGAGCCATTGTGCATTCATCCCAAACAATAAGTCTACATTCTTGAAAAACCAATGCCATATTACACCGTTTAGATATTGAGCAACATGGTGTTTCTACATTTATTAAATCCAATGGGAGTTTAAACACAGAGTGGGCTGTGCGTCCCCCATTTAACAGCGTAGCAGCTATACCTGAAGAAGCAACAGCCAATGCTACATTATTATTATGTCGTAATTTTGCTAACAACAAATTCAATAAAAATGTCTTGCCTGTGCCACCGGGGGCATCCAAAAAAAATATTTCACCGTTTTCATTTTGAACACTTTGTAATATTTTTTGAAATGCCATTCTTTGCTCATCGTTAAGGGAATTTTCGTCTTTATTTAATTCGAATTCATTAATATTGTAATTTATTTCGTTTAAATATTCCCTATTTTGAAGTGGTCTACTAACTCTAATCGGTTCGGGCAAACCATAGTCTAATAGACACGTACCTCCAATGGACAGTGTTATATCTTCGATTAAAATAAGACATTTATTAAACACTCTATCCAGTAGATCTTGATTGACTTCTGCCACTATTAGAGAAAACTCGTACAAAATGTCTTCTGAAAAGCTTTCTTTATACATTTCCCAAAGATGTGCGACATCAGCCATTTGACAATTTACTAACATCACCGCAAATAAATCACGTAATTGAATTGGCGATTTACATAAAGCTGCTTCCTTTAGGGTATATTCCCAGTGTGTGTCATCTTCTAGTAAGCCCAAAGCCTTACATGCCAATTGAAATGTAGCATACGTAATGTTATTAACTGTTTTAAGAAATAAGAATGAGGTTGGTCCCCGCACTTCATGAAGAAGTAGTCTTAGGTAATAGCATTCCTAAAGAGTTGGTGTTGTTGTACGATGTGGTTTCCTTGCAATTTAAGGGTCGTGTTTTCAAACCGAGTTCTTACCAATCTTGGATTTCACTTTCCAAAAAAAAAAAAATGTCAACATCATTTTTGGCAAGAACTGAAGTGGGTTTGAACCCACGACCTACAGATCACATTACATTTATATACAACCTCTAACACCTGAGCTATATTGCCACTTAAATGCATTACAGCAAAAGATCATTTAATGAGAAGTACAAATGTATGCAAAAGGAGAAGATTAAATGGTTGGTTTTATTGTTGTTCACTTGCAATTTTGCTAAAGATGAGAAAAAAAAAGAATAAAAAACAAAAAACTTAAATTTTTAAATTTTATTTTTGTCAAAAAATTAACAATTTTGATTAAATTGAAGGTCTACGACCTGGCTGAAGGCACAGGTTCTTAAATCTCCTTTCCATAAGAGATACGTTTTCGTGAGTTTTTTCCAGGTCTGCTACCTTCTTCTTCATTGTTTTTAAT